ACCATTGTAGTGCATTTCTGTATTTGCACATATGAGTAGTTTTATGGATAACAATCTATAAATAAAATTTAAACAAGAAAAAGATACAATTGAAATAAAGTGTTTTATTATTTCCGAAGTCTAACCGTATTCAAGTACAGTAATTAAATGATAAAAATTAAAATTATTCATTGAAATGAATCGTTGTTAAATTCACAAGTGGTGCAATTTCTTATGCCTGAATGTTTTTAAAATCATTATACAATTCCAGGCATCAAAAACACGTGCAAATGATAAATTATAAAATAACATAATGTTGCATACACTAGAGTTGTGTCTTCTGCGAATTATCACATAGCGATATGTTCACATGACATTCATGTCATCATTTACGAACCCTAAACTGCTTTTACAGATAACTGTCAAACAACGAAAAAACAAAAGAAGACATTTAGCAGAATGTCAAGCTGCTCCTATCCACAAAACGAAAGTGAAACCGGACTGTGTTGTCATGCTCCACAAATGACCAAAAAAGCATCATTACTTTAATAAAGCAATTGCTGCTTTGTAAAATAATAATAATAATAATAATAATAATAATAATGAGCTAACTACAATATCTGGTTTGACAACTGCAGTTATTTCCAGATCAGGAAATTAAATACTATTTTGCTATTAATAACTGTGTTTGTGTTTAGTGGAAGTCACGGATTTTGAAAAACGTGAGGGTGTGTAAATAATGACAGCGTATTCATTGAGTGAACTGTCACTTTAGATGCGCAGGTTTTACATAACACATCATAATTTTAAAAGGTCTTACCTTAAAATAAACTACCTTACAACTGTACACTTATCAACCTGCATTAATTACTATTGTGGTAAAGTTGTTTTTATATTCGGACAATCTACTTAATAATGTAATAAAAGTATTATTTGCAAATTCTAAACAGTGAAATCATATAAGCAGCCAATGACACGTACAACATGGTTCACAATCAAACAAATAGTGCTAATGCTGTTTTAAAATCAGACTTGCATGTTATTTCAGGTTAAACTTTAAGTACCATGGTAAACGATATAAGGAGCATGTCATAAGTTGTCACTGAACACATGTGCTAATATAAAACCAACTTTACCTCAATTTCATAATTTTAGAACCATCCACTTTATTCCAAAATCAGAATTATTATTATCACAACAGAAATGCCCCAAAGTTTTGATATAAGATAAGACCTTTAACTGATATCTTTTTGGGAACCCCATCTACACTGGCTTGTTAGTTTGTAAGCAAAACAAACAAGAAACTGTAAGTGACATCGCCCAAGTACTTTGTATAAATGTAACAGTTGCATGATGAACAGAACTACTAGGCTGATAACTCTGGGAGCAGCAATGAAAACAAAACACCTGATCCAACAGGCTCTGGCCATCTTCAGAAAGAATGAAAAGACTACTCTACCAGGTAATCCATGTAATTCCTCGATAGCTTCTTGCTGTTTTCTCCGGAAAACAAAATTCCCGAGTCAAGGCGACTATGAAATGAAACGCTGCCGTTGATTGAATGCATCCAAAGTCTCGATTTTTTTTCACGGCTTTGGCTTAAGACTCCCCGCCTCTCGGATGTCAAAAATAATATTTGAATAAAGCGGCTAGCAAGCAGCGTTAGCTCTGTACTCCTCTTCCTCCTCTGTAAGTCCCACGCACGGTTATGTAAATAAAACAAGTCCTGATAAAAGGCTTTAGGCTTCCAATACATTCAAAACATGACTATTGGTGATTTTAAGTCGCGATAATTCGGACTCAGCAGTGTAGTGTGTAGGGCTGTTGTAGCGAGTGCAATACAGTTTAATGGTGTGGGCGGAGTGAGGCGCTGTTTGTTGTGTGATCAGGAGCCACGGAGGCTCGAGCATCACGACGTGACGTCACTGTCACGCTGAATATTACGTTCATTCATCCAGCATGAATTGAAATTAATTATAGTTTGTACTTCTTTTGAGAGTATAAATTTTTCTCTATATAACGAACTGAAATTCTGCCGATGTTTCACGTCTGAAAGCGTGTGTTTAACACTAATGATGACGGAGTGTACGTGCTAGTTTTGCGAATGCGATCACGTGATAGTAGATGGTATCTAAAAGCTGTGAGGCTACAGGTTCCTTTGCATCACGTGACAAGGAACTAACTGTGCCAGATATTGTTTGATGGTGACCTCTGCTGGTTAGAATGGTGCATTGTTCTCCAAGAAGTTTGACAGAAGACCCACAGTGAGTTGTGTAATCTGAGATCCGTTTCTTTCATAATGGATTGTTTTGCGCTAGCCTTGAATTATTCACGACAATTATTTAGAAATATAGCAACTGAGCATTATCAGTGATGTGAAACATGAATGAAAAAAAAAAAAGTAAAACACACAAATGAATGGGGTTTAGGCTAAACAGGTTTTTCCCCCAACATTTATAAAACTTTATTAGTTATAATAAACATACCACACACACAGTCACTCATATGCACTCTACATACACATCTCTTTATAATGTACTTCTTAATATATTAATTGACCTAAATTAACAAAATAAACGTATGATTTATACACAATTATAAGGTTCACATGTTATAGTCCTACAATAAAAATCATATGCTATTATTTTATAATAATCCAAAGAAAAATAATAATTTCACCTGTTAAATCTTATTTTTTTAACATGTACAGTTAAAGTCAGAATTATTAGCCCCCTTGTTTATTTTTTCCCCAATTTCAGTTTAACAGAGAGCAGATTTTTTCAACACATTTCTAAACATTATAGTTTTAATAACTCATTTCTAATAACTGATTCATTTTATCTTTGCCATGATAACAGTAAATAATATTTTACTGGATATTATTTAAGACACTTCTATACAGCTTAAAGTGACATTTAAAGGCTTAACTAGGTTAACTAGGCAGGTTAGGGTAATTAGGCAAGTTATTGCATAATAATGGTTTGTTCTGTCGACTATCAAAAAAAAATAGCTTAAAGGGGCTAATATTTTGTCATTAAAATGGTTTATAAAAATTAAAAACTGATTTTCTTCTAGCCAAAATAAAACAAATAAAACTTTCTCCAGAAGAAAAAAATATTATCAGACATACTCTGAAAATGTTCTTGCTTTGTAAAACATAAATTGGGAAATATTTAAAAAAGGGAAAAAAAATCAAAGGGGGGCTAATAATTCTGACTTCACCTGTATATGTACATATGTATTTAAGTACAAAATTATGGTAATTTAATTATTCAATGCTATTAGGCTATTTGTTTATTCAAATTGATAAATGTTTATTGTTTATTTTAATCATGTTTTTATCTCTTTATTAAGTAAATTAGTTATTATTATTTGATTTCTTTTTGCATTCGTATCCCCTTTTCTCCAAACATTTACACTTACCCCATTGTACTCCATCACTGTCCCTGGACAGCAGTTTAAACTTTTTTATCCAAGATAGTCATGTTTAATGTTTCATAGTTATGTGTCTATTTTAAAATGACCATGAATGTGGCTGGCAGTTGGATGCAGTGCATAACATTTTAAAAAGTATGCAGGCCAAAAAATATATAATTACCTTTTTATTCGACATCATTGTTTGTATTCTTGACTTTAGTTCCTCTTTCAATATGATTCAACTGCATTTGTTAACTTAAAAGATGGAACTGAATATAAACACATGAATATGTAAATGGTATTTCTCATTTTTAACAAATAGAACTCAGGTTAAAGGTTAAAAATATTGTTCAGGGGAAAGGAACAGTCGTACTGGGGCTTTGTCAGCTCACCAATCTTTCTACACTTTTTACAAATGAATGTTCAAGTTAGCATTCACAGAGTTGTATTTTTTAAATGTTCTGATGACACAGCCATACTAAGTTTCCTTTATGAGAATGATGATATTAGTGTTATCTACCAGTCAGAAATTAGCCGCTTTGTTGATTGGTGTGATATAAATATGCTAGAAATAAACACTAAGAAAACTGAAGAAATGATATTTGACTCAAAGTGTATAGGTGACCGTCATCAAGTGGTTGTACACGACCATCCTCAGTCAGAGACCTATACTTGGGCATTTACATTGACAGTTCTTTTACATGGAATACACACATAGAGTGGGTTTGCTCTAGTTTACACCAGAGAAGATTGTTTTTTTTGTTTGTTTGTTTGTTTGTTTTTTTACTGAGGTTACGTCTTTTGGAGTTAACAAGCAGCTTATGATGTTGTTTTTTTAAAGCTGTTCTTTAAAGCATTGTCAGGTATGGTATCACAGTTAGGTTTGGCAACCTATCTGTAGACACTGTAAATCTAAGTTGATGCACCTCTTAAAGACAGATAGAAAATTGTTGGGTGCGATGAATATTTTAATCCTCATTTTTTATATGAGAATTGTGTCCTCAATGAGGTGGAAAGGATTCTGAATGATCCAACTTATTTTTTTTTTTTTTGTTTACACACTATGAACTGCTTCCCCCTGGTTAGGAGATATAGAGTCTCTAAATGTAGGTTGAACCGATATAAGAAATCCTTTGTTACAGTTTCAGTGGGTTTATTGAACAAGAGTTTATCTTAATTAGAATTATGATTATTGTAATTACTGTATTTTGTATTGTTTTTTGTTGTTTGTTTTATGGAATTTCTGCAACAATATGGCGATGACCATCACAAATTTCCTGTCAAGGACAATAAAGTTTTACTACTACTACTACATTTAATTAAATTAGCAAATGTTTTAATTATATAGCGAATTAAAATATCTATTTTATCCTGAGACAGCCTATATTACCTGGCTAATAAAAAGTTAATAAAATGAAGCAGAAACGATGGGACATCAATATACATTGACATGTAAGATAACACTTTGATCATAAAAGACGATGATTAGTCAGATTCTCCATGAAGGGGCATTTGAGTTTATTCGTTACCCCAGGCTGATTATTCTGATTGGCTCCACCCTCGATTATTCTGTCCCGGACCGCAGAGCGCATTCAGCGAGGAGAGGCAGGCGTACCCAAGCCCCACTTTTTCAACACGCTTCTGGGAGGAATTTGATACTGCTTTGACGGGATAATGTCTTTAAAAGTTTTCGACGTGTTTTGGTAAAAAACAAAGAGCGTAAATTCCCGAGAAGGCTGGTTGAACGGAACATATTGTAACTTTGGAAACCGAGTTTACAAAGCGTTTCCACAACTATGGCGCTCAGAGCGAGAGCTTTATACGACTTTACCTCAGAAAATCCCGGCGAAATATCTGTGACAGAAAATGAAGTCCTCACTTTATGTAGTGAAGAGGTTGTCGATGGTTGGCTGGAGGGCACGAACAGCAGAGGTGAGACGGGGCTGTTCCCTGCATCATACGTGGAGATTATAAAAACTGACACATCACTGCACGGTAACGGGACGTCCGCCAGTCAGGACTATTACTATCAAAGTAGTCCTCAGAGGAGGGACACCTCAAACGAATCAACACCCACACACGCTGTATACCAGGGGCATCTTCAACAGCAGCGACTCAGTTTTCAGACGAGCCAAGGAAGTGACGAGGATTGGGACGATGACTGGGATGACAGCGGGACGGCGGAGGAACACGGAGGAACACCTGAAAAACGCGCGAATCCTCAAGCAGGATACAGCAGCACAAACCCCTCAGCTTCTCGACGTGGTAGTGCACAACAGTCCAAAAGCACAGGAACAGTTGGGAAAAATCTTAATAGGTTTTCAACTTTTGTAAAGTCAGGCGGTGAGGCGTTTGTTTTGGGTGAAGCATCAGGTTTGGTGAGAGATGGAGACAAAATATTTGTAGTTATGGGTCAGAGTGGACCAGAATGGCAAGAGAATCCGTATGCATTCACTTGCACTATTGATGACCCTACAAAACAGACCAAATTCAAAGGTATGAAGAGCTATATGTCCTACGGACTCACGCCGAGTCATACTCAAAGCCAGGTGAATCGAAGATACAAGCACTTTGATTGGCTTTATGCGCGACTTGTTGAAAAGTTCCCGGTCATTTCGGTCCCTCACTTACCTGAGAAACAAGCCACAGGTCGATTTGAGGAGGATTTCATTTCTAAGAGACGGAAAGGTTTAATATGGTGGATGAATCACATGACGAGTCATCCTGTTTTATCCAAGTGTGATGTTTTCCAGCATTTCCTCACCTGCAGTAGCACTGATGAAAAAGCCTGGAAGCAAGGCAAGCGAAAGGCCGAGAAGGATGACTTAGTCGGCGCTAACTTCTTCCTCACTATCTGTCCTCCAGCTTTACCGCTTGACTTACAAGAGGTAGAAAACAAAGTGGAGGGCTTCAAAACGTTCACCAAAAAAATGGATGAGAACATCATACAGGTCAACGTCACTATTAACGAGTTTGCCAGGAAGCAGATCACTGGTTTTAAAAAGGAATATCAGAGAGTTGGACAGGCTTTCAGACTTCTAAGTCAGGCCTTTGAGGTCGACCAGCAAGTATTCTCATCTCCGCTAAACAAGGCCATGGCAAACACTGGAGAAGTCTACGAGACCATTGGGGATTACTTTGCAGAGCAGCCTCGTCAGGATTTGGAGCCAATTTCTGATCTTTTAGCGATTTACCAGGGACACCTCGCAAACTTTCCAGACATTATCCATGTTCAGAAAGGTTTGGGAATTTTCTCATGTGTTTGCTCAAATACCACTTATCAGAATGGCATGCCATGAAATGTGGATATAGGTCAGTAGGTCAGTATTTTATGTGCATGCTGTCAGCTTAAAGAAATGACACACACCATACGTCAGATTAATATTTAAGTAGAAACCTAAATCAGCATAAAAATGCTTTTTCTTGACACACACACACAAAAAAAAACATATTTTTTGTACTGAAAAGGACACATGGTGTTATAGCAAAGGCAAGCAGCTGATGTAAAATGGTTCGCTTTTTAGATTTATTAACTTTTTATCCTTAGAGCAAATGACACATCACAACAGGCTATCGGCGGTATGTCAGATGTCCTCATTTCTCTCTGGTGTAAGAGAGAGCATATGGGGCCTGCAAGTTCTTGCAGCTTGAGATGTGTGTTGGTATGGTGGAAAAATGCCAGCCCTGTTGCATTTTCCACATCTTCTCAGTGGGGGAAGTGTATCTGACTAATCTAATTTTCCTTTACTGCGCAACAACGCTGACTGATGTCATTGTTTAGTGTAGAATCATAAGGATTTTTATTGCACAATTTGTCACTGTATTTTCGTATGAGAATTTGCTTGTCTTCATAAAACAACTGATACTGGGAAAGCTTTTGTGTTGAAGGCTCTAATCCTAAGCTTTGGGCCCCAGCACAGGGTAGATGTGAATGCTTACAAAACATTGATCTGCAGCTTAACTCACAGACATAGTTATTTTGAAGCCTCTAATACAGACACATCCAGTGTGTATGTTTTATGTTATATACAAGAACTCAAAGTCAATGCAGGCCCGTAGTCAGCCTGGTGAAAGGGGTCGTTCTTTTTTTCTCAAAAAGTGGACTTTTTGCAGTTATTTACCTCATTTTCAACTATGAGGTAAAAATATTGAATTTGTTTACATTTTAAGCACTATTCTTAGCCAGTTTAGCTTGTTGTGGTCATCATAACCACACTTTTTGATGTACCTAAATTATTTCCTAAAGATTTAGAGTAAAGAAATGTGAAAAAACAAAATATTTTTTTTACATCATATATCATTAGAAAAGGTGGTAGCCTATTGTCATTTATTAGGGAAATAACAAACTGCACATTAAACTTTCCTCAGTCAGAATGTAGCCGTTTGAATGTTTTGAATACACAATTGAAACATTATAATCATAATAGGAAGAAGAACAATAGAGCTTCATGTTTTTTTCTAGCTTCTCTTGTAAACGTACATTTGATAATTCATAGATGACAACAACAGCCTAATTAGTATAAAATTACCTTTAATATGGTCAATTTTTTTGTTTGTTAGGTACAAAAATTAGAATAATTTATGCTTGTAACCTCTATTAACAGCAATATAGTAGGTCAATAGTGAAAGTTGGGGTGAGGCAGTGGCGCAGTAGGTAGTGCTGTCGCCTCACAGCAAGAAGGTCGCTGGGTCGTTGATTCGAACTTCGGCTCAGTTGGCGTTTCTGTAAAGAGTTTGCATGTTCTCCCTCCCTTCGTGTGGGTTTCCTCGGGGTGCTCCGGTTTCCCCCACAGTCCAAAGGTACTGGTGAATTGGGTAGGCTAAATTGTCCATAGTGTATGACTGTGTGTGGGAATGTGCGTGTGTCTGTTTCCCAGAGATGGGTTGCGGCTGGAAGGGCATCCGCTGCGTAAAAACTTGCTGGATAAGTTGGCGGTTCATTCCGCTATGGTGACCCCGGATTAATAAAGGGACTAAGCCGACAAGAAAATGAATGAATAGTGAAAGTTGACTTCATCTATGTCAGATTCTGCAGGGTCCAAAGCATTTGATGGGTTATTTCCACAATTTATAGTGGAATATAATAGGACAGAAGAGCTTATTTTTAGGAACATTTTGGTCTTTTGTCCACCCCACCCATCCACCTTGGCTACAGGCCTGCAATCTGAAGTTCACCAGCATGGACCATGCCACACTTTGAGCTAGACTTTCTAGTAGGGATGAAAGGGATGGTAATGGAACAAAGGGATAAATGGGAAGGGAAGTGGGAGGATAAACAGTGAACAGGTAGGTAGGTTGATCGAGCATCCTATGATGATGCCCATAGACTCAGAGTTGGGGTACCTTCTCTGTAATATATTGATAGAGTGATTGGACCCCCCAGCTCAACCCCGTTAGTGAAGAGAGGGTTATAGGATTGTTAATGGGAAGGGAGGAAATAGAGGGAAGGAGGGTGGGTTTGAGAGAACGAGAAGAACAGTGCTAGAGGGCTGGTCTGCCTTAAATAAGTTTTTAGGGAGTAGGTGATTGGTTAAGGAGACAAAGTGAGGCGTGGTTCCGCCGCCGAACCTTTATTAACAAGTTAACTCTATTAAAATTTTGCAGGTTGCTCGGTTGCCATATGTAGGCATATCTCACCATGAAATAGGATATTTAAAAATGTATGCTCTTATTTTATCTGTCTGGAATTGACTGGATTTTGAAAAATAGCCGTAACACACCTCTATATATAAATAAATAGTGCTTAGCAAGATCTTTAACATGAATTTAGAGATTTCACTGTGCAGGGAATATTTAATTTCTCCTTTAGAAATTCCAAAGAGATCTGTAAGCCATAAATCAGACCTCTTGACTGGTCTGAGCTTGCATTTTAATGTGTTCAAAATGGAAAGTTTCTCAGAGAGTGCATGTGTGTGTTTTTGCAGATGTGATTGCTTTTTTTTTTTTTTCATTTTAGATTTAATTCACTCTACTTCTTTCCTGGTTCTTTTCCTTTCTGTTTACCTCCATCTGTCTAGGAGCCCTCACTAAAGCCAAGGAGAGCCAGAAACATGGAGAGGAAAAAGATGGCACTGCAGGAGGAGGCATCAACGACCGCTGCAACATCATCTCCTGCGCCACACTAGCTGAAATCCAGCACTTTCATTGCATACGTGTGCGTGACTTCAAGGCACAGATGCAGTATTTCTTACAACAACAGATCAGCTTCTTTCAGAAAATCACAGGCAAGTTAGAAGAAGCCCTGGACATGTATGACCAGGCATAAGAGAGTCAATGCTACACTGCCTGAGAGAACTGAATTAACACAAATAATCAGCCTTTTTATGACAGATTAATTGAAATCACAGTTAGCCTTGTAGAGGGCTTTTCACATTTGGTCTAGTTAACCCTGGGACATATTAAACCCAGGATAAACAGAATAGTGGGTTAATCTTGTTTTACACTGCTTATAATTTACCCTGGGTTAACACTTAATCATGTATATTCATATGCTGAAGTTTCACAATTGTATTTCTAATTTCAAATGTCAGTGTCAAAAGTTATGTTTCCAACCAAAGTTGTGAACTTATGAACAAAATTAAAATATCAGATGTGACTACGCATGGGCCGGTATATTTCACGATATTGTGATCACTGCTCTAAAATATGCTCTTTTTAAATGTCTTAATTAAAAACAACGTCTTTTCCCAATTGAATACAATATATTTCATTTTAGAGAACATTTATAATATTTTGGAGCAGTAAACATGTGAGGCTAAGTAATTTAAATAAATCATTGACTTCTACTGTCTCCATTTGTTTCAATATCACAGATTTCTTTTGTTTGCCAGGCATCGTCTTATGAACTAAGTTCATATATCTGATGAATATCAAGCAATCTATTTTGTAAGTGTGTTTTAATAGTTGTTTATAAGAAGAAAAAAAATGCAGATTTTGGTGTTTCTATACAGCTAGTTTTATTAGTGCAATATCCAAAATGGGCATTATAATATGTGAAGGGAAACATAGCTATTAATTAGGCGAGCACAGCATGTGACCTTTTCCATAAATTCCACTATTGTGCATCCTTTTCTGTTTTATTTTTATTTATTTATTTTTTACAATTTGACATTTTGGGCTATAAAAGTAAGAATGAAACATGCTGATTTTCAGTGGACATCTTCCATCACAATTTGACTTTTTTCTATATATATATATATATATATATATAAATATATATATATATATATATAAATATATATATATATATATATATATATATATATATATATATATATATATATATATATATTTTTTTTTTTTTTTTTTTTTTTTTTTTACCAGGGGTGCCAAACTCGGTCCTGGAGGGCCGGTGTCCTGCAAAGTTTATTCCAACCCCAATCAGACACACCTGGGCTAGCGAATCAAGCTCTTACTAGGTATACTAATAACTTCCAGGCAAGTGTGTTGAAGGAGGTTGGAGCTAAACTATGTAGGACACTGGCCATCCAGGACCAAGTTTGGGCATCCCTGTACTTTACTGTACTGTACTGTACTGTACTATACTATACTATACTAATAAATACAAAAATGTACTATTATGTAGGGCTGCACAGTATAACATTTCGGCATCGATATCAAAATGTGTGTGTCCACAATTGTCACATCGCAAGATATGCAATGTTAAGTTGGGATTATAGTCGATCAACAATTAAATATGCATGAGGTTTGTGGATTCATTGCAACGTATAACCCTAACAGAGTGAAACTTTATCATTTGCATGTATTTTAAAGGTTTTTCAAGAAAGTGAAAAGCCTCCGGGCATAATAACATAAAACATTTGTAACTTTATCAAAGAAACGTACTGATTTGTCTCTGCAGTGTTATTTTACATTACTACATTTCTATATTTGAATCCTGTTTGACTCTCTGGAAAACCATAAAGAACGGTTTATTTACTTTTTTCATTGCTCTATTGTAATTTTTAGACATGATTCACTCCCTAAAAAAATAAACCCAACCAATCTGAATGATTTTTCACAAGTAGAGCTATTCTAGCCATATATATATAAAGAGCACAGTGTTTCTATGACTTTCCAATTTATGTCAATATGAAGCATGTAATAGATTGTCAGATGCTAAGCAATCAATGTTTTGCAATTTTTACAAATACTTTATAGCCCTAGGTAAAAAGAGATGCAAAATCTACTTTAAATGACAAGTGTGAAACATACTTTTAACCCAGGGTTAAATCCAGTGTGAAAAGCCCTTAGGAGTGTTTGGAGTGGCTTTAAGTTACAAACAAAATAAGATGTGATCCAGAGATTGACAGTGGTCCTCAAAATGTAGTCTTCATTATTATTATTATTGAGTAAAATACTTTATAATCTCTGATTATGCATAGCAGTCATAATTGGTTTTAGTTACCCTGAAACCCTTGAAATGTAACCACGGTTTTAAGTTTACACTTTAATCGGCTTAGTAGTAAAAGTCGATGTAAACAACACAGATTACTTATACTTGTGTGCCTGTATTGAAACGCTCTCTGTCAATGGACTAATTTCACGAACTTGGACTTGTGGTGATGCTAAATAAGAGTAGACTTGAAGGCATTTTTGTCTCTTGTTTGACTGAATTTTAATACAGACAAAATACAGACAATTATGCACATGAATGCTTGTGTTGCTTTGTAAAGTACAATCCTTTTAAGTTGGTGCAAGTTTTTCTCTTATTAACCTTTATCTTGATCTTCTCTTGAGGGAAAGGCCTGGGTCTGTTTTACATTAAGAGCTTGCAGGAGTAAGACGAGACACAGTTTCACAGCCCTGGAGGAGAAGTGCAGAGAACAATGACCTAGAAAACATGGGTTGAACTCTCTTTATCTAGTAGACATTCCAGACGAGGCAAAGAGGATCACTCACGTTACTAGTTTACAGGCACGTTTATTATTCAGTTCAGTTCAGATCTTTTTTGACAACTGTTTAACAGCTGTATGAGCAAGAAACTTGAAGTGAAACCTTAAAAATAGTTTTGTGGTTGTCAAACTCTGGACCATATGGCGGCCTGTGATGATTCCGTTATTGGTGGTAGAAAAACAAAAACAGACCTAAATTTAAATAAAATATTCGACAAAAATATTGACTCTAATTATTAAATCAGTTATAAAAAAAATGATTATAGGCTGTAAAGCATGTTGTCTTACTTCAAGAACATATATAAAATATTTATGTTAATGTATATGTAATGTTATGTATGTACACTGTAAGTTCCAACAGTCAACTTTATCAAATGAAATGAGTGTAGTTAACGCAAAGTTTACTGAAAGTTAATTCTACTCATTTGAAAAGAAATTTGAACTCAGTGTTGAATATAATGGGTTAATTAAATACCTCAACTCAAATGGTTTGTTGCAATCGGTTTCCTCAGACAGTTTGAGCTGCCTTAACTTATTGTGTTTTACAGTGCTCAGTTGGAGATCAAATTGCTTCATTTACTGAAATGGAATTTAGTTTACACTACTCATTAGGATTAGTTTTTGAACTTAAATGGTTTGTAGCAATCGGTTTACTCAAACATTAACTTGTTGGTTTTTACTGTGTAAGTAAAGGGTAATAGCATTTTTTAAATAGAATACAGAATTTAAACTTGAATATTGTTGGCTTTTAAAGATTAAATAATAGTCAAACTCATTTTAAACGGCAAACTTTTTGAGACAAGATTTGCGTAGATAGATTTGGTTAAAAGTTATGTTTCATTACTTATTTATTGCTTTCTAAAAGCCTATTCACTCTGCACCAACAAACCCCAACATCGCATCTCAGACATTCCACAATCTCGCCAATGTCATTTGAACTTGTTCATTCCGCAAAAACAAGCCCCAGCCAATGGCATCAGGGCGAACACATTGATTCAGCAAAGTTTCGGCTGCCAGTACTCAACACTATCAATTGTCCTGAATGGAATATTTCACCCAGAATTTAATATTACTATTAATTTACTCATCCTTCAATCCCTCATCCCTCAATCCATCCTATATGTTGATTTTTTTTTTCAGTAGAACATTAAGTTACATAATACATTTCATTAGCTGAAATTTTGGTGCTAATAATAATATTAAAGATGTCAGTTATTTCTGGTACAGGCTTAACTTAATTTATAACTTAAAACTTATTATGAAGCAAAGCAATTGCCCTGTTTAAGAAATTTAAAGGTGTGGTCCACTTCGATGTCCTATTTAAACTTTAGTTGATGTGTAATTTAGCTGTGTGAACATGAACAACATCTCTGAAAGTAATACACTTATGCAAAGGGAGACATTAGCTTTTACAGAGTTAGCTTAGCAAAGCCTATAGCAAACAATGTTTGGGAACTACAAAAACTACATCTGGGCTAATGAGATCACTAACCCTTCAAGTTACGGAAATTCACCATGCGCATACACCCTGCACAGCGAAAGAGCGTGGCCAAAGGCGCTGTAATGTTAAAAATCGCTATTTTCACAGAGCTTCTTCTGTTTTTGTATTTGGGCTTCCAAATAACACAACACAAAGAGAGAAGTGCTTACAATTCAATTTTAATTATGTTCCAGAGAATTATAATATATATATATATATATATATATATATATATATATATATATATATATATATATATATATATATATATATATATATAGCTAACATTTGACAAAGGACAGCTTTCAGAATCTCAGTTCAGTGCTGGATTCGCCTAAAACTCCTCCGACCAACGAAGCTGTGGATTGTGAGCCACAACCTGTATTTTATTTGTTAAAATTGATCTATTTCATGCACAGTTACTAGCATTAACGGTATGTTGTAGCGAGGAAGTAAGCAAGGATGTAAACAACGGGAAATACTAACAATTTAGCTACAATTTCATATTTATAAGTCAAACAGCTGTAAACAGCCTCGATCTTAAGCAGCGCTGCAGTGTCTCTCTATGTGGCCGCTTTCCATGCATTCTACATCGCAAATAACAAACTTGCAAAAGATATGACGCTTTATATTACTTACACATGCTTATTCTGAATATATCTGTATATGAAAGACACTTGTCAGATTTTATTTTAGAGAGCAGGTTTGAGGTTCAGCTGTGTGCTGATACGGCTAACAACTCCTCTGTTTACACAGCGCAAAAGCGCATGATTGTAGAGGCATGATCAAATCGCAAATCACAGCACTCACTATGTTGGCTGACCAATCACAGCCTCTTGAGGATGAGCCTTTAAGAGGAACTAGGAAATATGACAGTCGTTTTCATGTTAACAAAGTAGCTGTATATAATCAAAGTAAGATATATAAAAAAATAACTAATAAAATATTTTTCTACAAGTGACACACGAGCACACATTGATTTGCATCTTATAAACATAACCAAGCCTTAACAATACACTGTGGACTACCCCTTTAAAATGATTAAATTCCTGCCTTTTTATTTAAATAAATCACAATTTTATGAATCTCGAAGTTCTACAATTTCAACTAAAATCTTTCAAATTCTACTGAAAAAAAAGGTGGACTGTATTAGGCAGAGTTAATTAAATATCAGCAAATTTACTTTTTGTAAGTGTTACATCACCAAAACAGGTTAGAGAAAAAAAATACGAAAAGAGAATAAAATAATCAACCATTTAAGGAAGATCAACATGCTCTAGCCACAGACTTCCAATCAAGTGACCTCTTGAAGGAGACCACACCATTAGTATAGTTTGAATGCTTACTAGAGGGAAAATCCAGAGCTGTCCATCTCTCACTCCACTTGAATTATTTATAAGAGCTAAAGTTAGGCTTCTCTTTCCACACACTGCCTGCTTCTCTTTTCACATACTCATCTCCTTAATCATGAAGAATTTATTCCCACACCCTGATCACTAACAAGCCCACATATATTGCACATGAAACAGTACTAAGGAGAAAAAAGGACTACAACATCTGTTTTCTAAATAACAGGAGCCATAAAGAATGATACATATATCGAAGGTTCCTTGTGCACAAAGGATTGTAGAAAAAGCAAGTATTTATTATAATGTGCATTTATACATTGAATGAAATATAACAATATTTTTACATAATAGTGGCTAACTTTATTACACAGCCAAAAAATACATATAAATATTCATAAATAAGTTAAAATTATATCACTTTTACCAACTAAAATATATTAGATGTGGGTTCATTGAAGCAATCTAAGCATCTTGAATGTATGGTTATTCATTTTTATAGATTATCTTTCAGTACACAATTTTTCTGCTGTATTTTTTGACACAATTTTGTTTGTTAGAAATGCTAATTTGCTATTGCAGTATTATGAGGGTGGATCTGTTTTTGTGGTCAGCACTATACTTTAATTTTAGACACTTCCTTAAAATTTACCCACAAGTAGTTTCAGTCCTCTGCTCAATTTCATGCCATTACAACACATTAGGTCTACAGTAATTGTGACAATAAAAGTAAATATAAGGCATTATCTTGTAGAAGTAGTATTTATCTTGCACTTCAATGTAATAACATAAATATAATACAAGGAATATTTACGTTCTCTTTAGCTGTAGGCCTAAACGTAATATCAATACTTTAGCTTGTAGTTTTTGTCCTCTTAATTTTGGATCAAAATTCTTTCGGTTTATGTTTATTACTGTGTATATATTGAACTGAAATAACCATTTTAATTCTTGCTTATAACAAAAACATGCATAACAAATAACACCTATAATCACTTGGGTAGTTTCCTTTAAAAGTGTACCTTTGGATGTTCTCACACTAGATGATCTGAATCATCCCTATACATATTTTATTCTCAAAAGTCCAGTTCTTTTGACTAGTATGATAACTCTGAGCCATGCCCAAGCTCTTGTCTGAAAGTTGTTGGATTTTGACACAGTATACATGTACATACCCTGTAGTGTATTTTTTTCTAATGTTTGTAGTAATAGTTAGTTTATAGTATGAATATAGTAAAACCTTAATAAGCTGTGCTTAATTAGGCTGGGGCTAAACCAACATCTATAGAAGACAATCTTGCAACCGTTCTCAAAAAAAAATAATAATGCTATTGCTGCCTATATGACAATACACAAGGCAATACTTTTTTTTAATGGTACGTAATACATACTCTCTTATCTATCTGTAGTAGGCCCTCATGGTGCAGGATGAAATACTTAATTTAGAGTTTTTGATATTATTAGGTTTTAATAGCTCTTATTCATTAATGTTTTTTTCGGCTTAGTCCCTTTATTAATCAGGGGTCGCCACAGCAGAATGAATTGCCAACTTATCCAGCATATGTTTTATGCGGCAGATGCCCTTCCAACCACAACCCAACACTATGGCCAATTTAGCTTATTCAATTCACTTAGAGCGCATTTCTTTGGACTGTGGGGTAAACCGGAGCACCTGGAGAAAACCCACACGAACACAGGGAGAACAATCAAACTCCACACACAAATGCCAACTGACCCAGCTAGGGCTTGAACCAGCAACCTTCTTGCTGTGAGGTGATCATGCTACCCACTGCTGCACCATGACACCCGATAATAGGTCTTATTCTTACCTTATTGATGAACAGGGGTTGTGGCTTGTCCGTTTCATCAAAACAAAAACTTTTTGTGATGTAAGCATGGTGTCAGGCACAGAATGCCAAAGTGCAATGTGAGTGTAAGAGCTAATCTTGTTAGGCAACTGTGCCTAGCATGAGTACATCCTTATTTACCACAGAAGGGTACATTTTTTGTACCCTAGTTACTAATAGTGCGCTAAATGAGGTACAAAGAATATTTCTCTGAGCACTCTGACAAGCTATTTTCCCCTGACAGCATTTAATGGAATATGTAATTGCAAATTACATTGACCCTGGAACAACAAAAATGGTTTCCAATCGTATGAAACAAAACAATAAAATATCTAAGCTGTGGCAGGATGAAAACTGGACAACATCAAAAAGTTATTTGGTCATCTTTCCTTTGATACAAAGTCAGGAGATCTTCAGTCCACAAGATTAAAATCCAAATGCTATCAAAAATACAAGTAGATATTTAGGTTTCTCTTATGCGTGGTATAAAACTTCATTTCTTCTGCCAGTAATGCTAAGAGTTGGCTCGTCATGCACAATGACAGTTCACAAAATTAGTTCAAGAAACATCTGGATGTGATAAAAGGAGTTGAGTCAAACCCATTGCTGGTTTTGTTTAAGGGATGGTGTCGCTGGTGAGCATTGCTGGGCAGAAACAGGGTCAAGTGGGCTCCATGTGCAAAGGAGAAATGGAGACACAGATCGTTCCATTGCTGGCATCAAGGCAGGATCATGTACTTCTAAAACAGGGCTGTCAGGGCAGCTTGGTGTGAGTGGGGTTACTATAACTGATGGAACAGCAAGACTTCTCTCAGGCTGACCCAAATATGGGCCTCTGGCTAGAATATCTTCACCAGGGTTCCCTGTCAGCCCTTGTATCATTGACGGGTGTGCCCGTTTTTCCCTGCGGTGCCGGAAGACAAGAATGAGAACCACAAGAATGACAATCAGGAGGAGGCAGGCTAGAAGTGGCAGGATGATGAGCAGGGGATCAGATGCAGGTCTTGGAAAAGATTCCATCCTCACTAAAGTATTTTTTGGGAAGGGGTCCAGCTTGCCCATTGTGGTACGGGGCACATGTGGAACCGCAGATCTATTTCTTGTGTGGTTCCCCCAATGCTTTCGAGGTTTCAGTTTTGAAGCAGTCCTGTGTGGTCTACTTGTTGGATCTATATGAGATGGAGGGTACATGGGTGACATATTATTTGTTGTTATGTTGAAAGTTGGCAGCTTGGTTGGCTCTAAAAGTATATGCTTCCCTGTAATGGGATCAAATGGTAATACTAAGTACACAAACTCGCCCATGGCAGGCTGAACATTGGCAGCCGTCAAAAGGAAAACAAATGAGTCATTAAGTGGATGGACCGTTGTGACGTTGTGCCTGGCTGCTGTTGTGTTGCTATAAATGGCATGGAAGTTTATGTTTTCTACAATAGCCACTCTCCCCTGTTCCACATCCCGAAATGAAAAGGACTGGACTGAGTGAGGGGCTCCTCCGCGGTCAAATGTGACTTTGACTAGTTTGCCATGTTTAGGTGGCTCAAGGATTTCAAAGATGGGATCGCTAGCACTAAGGGAAGCCAATTCTGTTGCATCCAGGACGTCCTTTCTTAGCTTCACTGGGATGCCATCTGGGATCCTGACATGCTCTCCGATGTGAATCAGTGGCCTGACTGTGATGTTTACCACCTGGTTGGTCAGGTTACTCTCAGATGTAAAGACTGTGAACTCAAAGCTGTCTTGAGAGGATGATAGATCAGTCATGTGATAAAATACTCTGCCGGTGTGCAAGTCCTCTTGCTCAAAGTGTGTGACAGACTCTTCCATAACCATGATACTCCCATGATTTGGTTGGGCGGTAACTAAATATCTAATGGATGCATCCCTCTCGTTGGTGACTGCGGCCAGGTGCTCAAATGTCAAAGTCACTGTGGTCTGACCTTGCAACAGAGTCAGTCCAGTGTTGTTGACCACACTGATGGTGATATTCTCAACCTCTATGCTGAACAACTTGTAAAGTGGTCTGTGGAATCCATCAGTAATACTGAAGTAAATGACCCCGGATGAGAGTTCCCCTTGTTGCACAAAATGCACCTTTCCATGATTTACATCAGCCTGGGTGAAATTCAGTGTAGACTTGTTAAGTTGACCCTCCAAAGCAAGGAAGCCATTTTTAGGCCTGCTGATTACAGTATAGTAAATCTCCTCAGGTGGAGTGTCTTGGTCCTCCACGTAAAGGTTCTCAGTGTCCAAAATCACAGTGTCCCCTTTGACCACTTTGAGTCTAGGGGATCCTGTCTTGAGCACAGGAGGTCGGTCATTAACAGGGGTCACAGTAATATTAAATATTTCAGATATCATGTTATCTGCTTTCTGGGGACGTTGAGCAAGCTTTCCTTTGGGGTTTAGCCACACGTTAAAAGTGAAGTTATCATGAGTGGTCTCCGAGTCGTCATGCACATATATGATTCCATGCTTGTGGAGGTTGATTTGAGAGAACTTTGGTCTTTCATGCGTCAGATTCTTTTCCCCTACAACAATTGTACCATGGTGGGGTGGAGAGATGATTTCATACCAGACCTCATAGAAATTGCGTTCATCTTCATCTAACATTCCCAAAAGGTTGGAGCCATCCAATTTTGATTTATCAATGAGAACACTGCTACCCTCAGCGACAACAGCTCCTGAATAACAAATATGAATGCATTTATAAAAACATTGATAGCATAAAGGCAATCATATTAAATTAACTAAGCAGATGATAAATTTTACCAGAAATAAAACAAATTACCTGTATTTGCATGCAGTGCACTCCTATGCTCCTGATCAGTGTTTTCATAAGAGATGTGGATATTAAAGGTGTGAGGTTGAAGGAAGGCTGGAGGGCAGGATGCTGTGAAGGTAAAGGAATCTGTAGCAGCCCATGCAACAGGTTTAGTCTGTGCATACAGCACAGCACTTTCTTTCACCTGAAATAAAACAGTATTTGGATTGTTTTTGAGTGAGAATGATCACATAAATGACATTTAAATGGGCCATGAACTGCCTTTTTAAAACCATGTACTGGTCTTTAACGTTAACTTTAATTTTACATTAAAACTGTAAACATAAGTATTTTATTTTCTGGTTTAAAACCTCTATTCAGAACACTCCATTTTAATAGACTTTACTGTTTGTAGGCTTAGGCCCAATCCCAATTCTATTTTTGTACCCCTACACCCTTCCCCTTGGCACTTAAAAGTCTGAAGGGGAAGGGCTTCAAAATTTACCCCTAGGAATTGGGACAGTACTACAGCACCTGCACACAACATCATATGTCATCGCGATCTCTTGCTTCATTTGAGATCAGACTATCACGCCTGCTGTAGTTATTTCAGTTGTGTTATTTTTTGATATGTATCTTCAGGAAATCACTGAAGGCATATATTATGTTATTATTACAATCTAATGTGACAGTAAGCTTGTAACTATACTGCGCATTTACACAGTGGCCATTTTTATCTATGTAAACATACGAAAACAACACTAACATTATAGCAGACACTATAAAAAGCGCATTAACAGCCACTAGACATTTCTGACAGGGTATTCAAGTGTCATTGAGTGACAATGTTGTGGGACTTTGATACAGGAGTTAATATTAGGGGTTATAGATAGTGAAATTTAGCATTTTTTATTTTAGCATTTTGTTTTTTAAAAGCATGACAGTAAAACATGAACGCGGTTATGAATATATTAAAACATTAGCTTATTTGTTGTAAAAATATGTAATAAAGACAAAAAAATACTATTTTTTGGATCTCCTTACTTCCGGGTTTAGCTATGTTGCTATTGTGGCTGGTGTTATTTTCTTGTTGGCTTAGTCCCTTTATTAATCCAGGGTCGCCACAGCGGAATGAACCGCCAACTTATCCAGCAAGTTTTTACGCAGCGGATGCCCTTCCAGCCACAACCCATCTCTGGGAAACATCCACACACACACACTCATACGCTTCAGACAATTTACCCTACCCAATTCACCTGTACCACATGTCTTGGGACTGTGGGGGAAACCGGAGCACCTGGAGGAAACCCACGCGAAGGCAGGGAGAACATGCAAACTCTACACAGAAACGCCAACTAAGCCGAGGTTTGAACCAGCAACCCAGCAACCTTCTTGCTGTGAGGCGACAGCACTACCTACTGCACCACTGCCTCGCTCTGTACCTGATGTATTCTGGGAAATTTTGGTTTCGAGTGTGGTCCTGAAAAATGTTTGTTCAAAGGGCTATTCACCCCTTCCCCTTAGCCCTACGCTTTCATGTTAAAGAGAATTGGGACACCCCTACCCCTTGACGTGAAAGCGCAAAAACAAAGGTAGGGGTAAAGGAAAGGGCTAAGGTGTAGAATTGGAATTGGGCCTTAACCTAACTCCCACTGTTATGATTTGTGTATATTTGAAACTTTTCATTGCTTTAAAGATTAATTCCATTAAGAACAGTTGTGTGCCCACTAATGTAAACTACATGTACGTTTGACGTCCTTTATAGAGGGACATAGAAGTGATTTCAGATAAAGACACATAACCACTGCTCATATTTCATCAAACGATTTGTATTAACAGACAAAGCAGTTTAATAGTTTGGTAAATAGTTACAATCGTGCGGTGGAAAATTAAAGTCAGATCCAGTATAGTCGACATACATTGTTTTTGTTTTCTAACTTTTTGTAAATCCAACATCAAATTGTGCCTTGATTTTTAATGTATCTGCGGTAAAATATATTTTTAAAAAGACCAGGTTTTTCCTTCTGAAAATTTATTAAAAATAACATTTATCCACTCCTTCCAGATGTTGGACTAGGAGGACTTGGCATGGCAGAGCATCTTGTTTTGTTTTCTGAGCCATGTTTATTGTTTGGTTTCTGCATAGCTCTATATTTGACTCTCTTGCTATTTCCATATTACCACATAAATAGGTGGGCTAATCTGGAAGAGATGCAGAAGCAGGCACTGATCTTCTTCTGTAAAGGATCTACTGTATCTTGATCTATTGCTTAACAAAGTAGCAGATTCCTTTTCAGATGTCTTTATGCCAAACTGGCTTTAATATAAAGCTTAAAGTCTGAGTAAGTTTTGAGCTACAAGACTTACCAATTTTGTTTACTATAATGAACTCTTCATGTCAACATTTTTTTTTTTTAAATCATGAAAATTTTGATTTCTAAGTTTGTGACTTTGTGACTTAAGCTGTTGTGAGAAGTAGAGAAACAGAGATAGTATCTAAAAAAAGATCTCAATAATACCATAGTCTGGGTGAAAGTCGAGATTTCTTGTGTGGAATTTTCTGCTTGTTTCCAGATTAGGCTTCCCAATCTTGGAGGTGAAGTTACTGTGTAGATGATGGTGCGATTGCCATGAATATCATCATAGTCATTTGTGAGAATCAGCAGCTCATCTTCCGAAATTAACTTTGAAGAACCTGTAGAATAAGACAGGAGATGCATTTCTATATATCACACAGAAAACAGTATGCTAGTCTAAGCTTCACTTCCTACAAGCTGGGCCAGCTGCTGCAGTCTGCTACAGCATCTGGTCTTTTGGCTAATCTACCTCTTCATGTGAAAGACACCCTAAATATCCACTTCCTACCAACAAATGTAAGGGTTTTATCTTTGAAAACAAAATATGTTCTACTAGAAAGGAACAATTTAGGTTTAAGTTGAGAAAGCAACAGGAAAAAGGCTGAAAAAACAAACCTGGGAAAACTCTGAGCTCCTTATTTTTCTCTAAGCTAATGATCAGAGATTGGGCTGTAATGCTGAAGATTTGCCTTGGAGCGAAGTTCAAACCATCATTGACTTGAAAGTGAAATCCTCCAGACATAGCACCTGTCAAAATATACATATCACAAAGTTACTGAGAGGTAAAGCTAAACGAGTTCTCAAACTGCATGAGCAGTTCCGTATTGACAACTGAAAGATAATTTATCAGGTAAACTAACCATTATGTACAAACACCAGCTGGCCATGACTGATATGCTCTTGGGTGAAGTTCAGAACTGGCCTAGAGGGGGCATTCTTCAGGGCCAAATGCCCATTATTTGGTGGAGTGATGATGAATTCTAGGCTCTCAGGAGGAGAATCTGGATCCTCCGCACTGAGGTCTTCATTAGTTATTTGTGTCACAGAACCTTCCCATACCTTATAAAAGAAATGAGATGCTGTAATGTAGCGTGAGCTGTAACATTATTACTGTATTAACTTTTTTAAACAGCAGCAGCTAATTCATGTTAACTGAGCCTCCTGCTGGTAGAACTGGGCATTTGAAGTCTATGCCTCCTCACAAATAAAGCTGATTTCACTAGGAATCTTTGAAATAATCTTTCCATGATTAAATTATTCCAGCAATTTTATTTGGGACTGCAAGTAAAGCAAACTGTACTGGGCATCTGAAAAGTTAACTTGTTTATTATTTATCTGCTTGCACATACTGATGGGTTTGAATTAGTTAAGGCAGTTCAAAGGTACACTTTTTTTAGGTACTAATATGTATGTACCGCCACAGTGAAAGCACTTGTGCCTTTATTTCTAAGATTGTATATGTGTAAGGTACATACTATCGTAAACTTTAAAACATTTACCTTGAGAATCCTGTTGACAGTTATAATTGGAGATTCATCATTTATGGGTGTTATGTCGACATAAACCACAAAAGGCAAACTTTGCTTCCGAATATCTGTATCATTGGCCACCACTGTAAAATTATCAGCCACTGTCTCACTTCCATCATGGACATAGAAAATGAACCCTTGTTCAGCCTATAGCAACACAAAAAATACAGTGTGGTTATTTACCATACATTTTATAAATACACTTGTACTATTATATATTTTATTAATATACATAAAATGTATTAAATGTATATGTTAAGGGATATCATAAAATGTTATGCTGTGTTCACACCAGATTTAATTAACAAACAAGTTCAATAAAACAATTTATAAAAAATAAAACAACCAAGGAAGAAAATGAAAGAACTCTAAAAGCAGCTCAAATATTCAGGAATAAAACGTGTTGCAGTCGTTGGTCATTTGAGACTCCTTTATAACATTAGTCCCGCAAGACTCCCTCTTGCTTTCACAAAAAGTTTTTTTTTTTATCTTTTATATCCGTTATTAATAGCCTATTTAAGTTTTAATGGGGCTTATAGACTATTTTTTTCAGTGCATACATTGACTGCTCCATCAAATACACGGCATATACATACTTGTCTTATTTGTGTTTAATTCGATAGAATGATAAACAAAGACATGCGCATTTTTTAGAAAATAACCTATTTATTTAATTTAAAAATATGTTAGGCCTATATTTATTTATATAGGCTATTAACATTTATTCTATTTATTTAAACTAGCCTATATTAAATTAAATTACAATCTGTATTTTACCATTCGTTTTGGCCTAAAAAAATTATTGAACAGTTTATTAATAACTTATCAAAGAACATTTTACTGAGCTCAGTGAAAAGTTTTAGGTCAAATAGGTTATTTATTATTAGAGCAATAGGCTATTGCCGACTCGCCGCAGTCATGTCTAAAATGAAACTTATCAAAAAACAATAAACGCATAGCCTATGCCAAGAGCAACATTGTGTTAGATCTTAGCAAATACAAATGTGACACTGTTGGTTAATTTTGTGATGATTAGACCTGATCGAAGTTGCACCGCGCTCAACTAAACAAAAACATGGAAAACTTCACCACATAGTCACATGCGTGCGGCAAGTCCTCCATCCGCCTCCCTCCTGAAAGAATCTTAGAGCATCATTAGCCCCTTTCACACAGTGATACCGGTAAATATCTGGAAAATTTCCGGAACGACTTTACCGGTATATTGAAAAAAGCGCTGTTCACACAGGCGAGGACGTTACGGAAATTTTCCGGAAAAGAGCATTCACACATCCATTCCAAAATACCGGTAAATTCTGACATCATTTACCACAAATGAGCTTTAAACGGCTGCGCTTGTATTTGTAAACATTTGACTAAATTACAAACTCTATGGATGATCAATATTGTGAACAACTTTCGCAGGATCACTTTCACATGTCGAGATGTTCATAATATGTGCGTGTGCTGGCGCTCATAGGCTGTTTCACAGGCACACGCAAAGCTTGAAGGTAAACAAACAACGGCTTATCATAAGCATCTCATCGATGATTATTTACACAGTTGGCATAAAGAAGAACATATAAACGTGATCTGACTAACTTCTAGCAGCTAAATGTGTCTGGAAAAATATTCAAAGGTTTTTATTCTCACAAACCGCGCGGACGTAAATGCGTCTGACTGTTGTGATTGGCTAAAGCAGACGTCTCACGTCAGCACGTTCTAGACGTGCACGCGCTTATTACGGTAATCTTCCTTCTGCATTCACACAGCGCAGCATTCCGGCAAATTGCCGGTAACGTTACAACTTCTCTTTCCGGAAAATAGCCAGAACGAATTTACCGGTATTTTCAAAAAGGACCTGTTCACACATACAACCTTTCCGGAAAATTGCCGGCAATTTTCCGGAAAGGTCTGTATGTGTGAAAGGGGCTACCCTTTCTTCTGTGCATGGATAAATATAATTTCATTTGCTTTCATCCATGTATATTATATCCATTTTGCAGCAGTCCCGCAGGCCGAGGATAACGGCATGAACCCAGTCACCTTCAAATCCTGTCCCTTGCTGCACTGTCACATTGAATCATTTCAGTGTCAGCGCCTATTTAGCTGTAGGAGCGTGGTGATTTGCATTGGTTTGAATTATTATTCAAGATCAAACGTCATGCAAATGCAGTAGGTTATTAAATAAGTAAAAAAATCTGCTGAATTAAAGGTTATTAAATATCTTTAGATTTGGTTAAATTATAATAATCAAATATTATATATATATATAAACGTAACACTGCCACGCCCCAACGCGATAGTATCGTGTATCGACGATCTCACAGGGGCATAATATATGGCGATCTAAAAATTTTGTGTATCGCCCAACACTAATGGAGGCTGAACAACATCGATTCGTTTGGAGCAGTGTCTGAGTCCACTAGATCCTTTCAGAGGTGCACCCAGCTCTGTAAGCTCATAAACTTCTCCAGAAACTTAACCTGGATAATGGAAGCAGGAGGATTTTTCCCTTGGACACCAACAACAGGCACTACATCATAAGCCCCTTTCACACAGTGATACCGGTAAATATCTGGAAAATTTCCGGAACGACTTTACCGGTATATTCAAAAAAGCGCTGTTCACACAGGCGAGGACGTTACGGAAATTTTCCGGAAAAGAGCATTCACACATCCATTCCAAAATACCGGTAAATTCTGACATCATTCACCACAAATGAGCTTTAAACGGCTGCGCTTGTATTTGTAAACATTTGACTAAATTACAAACTCTGTGGATGATCAATATTGTGAACAACTTTCGCAGGATCACTTTCGCATGTCGAGATGTTCATAATATGTGCGTGTGCAGGCGCTCACAGGCACACGCAAAGCTTGAAGGTAAACAAACAACGGCTTATCATAAGCATCTCATCGATGATTATTTACACAGTTGGCATTAAGAAGAACATATAAACGTGATCTGACTAACTTCTAGTAGCTTAATGTGTCTGGAAAAATATTCAAAGGTTTTTATTCTCACAAACCGCGCGGACGTAAATGCGTCTGACTGTTGTGATTGGCTAAAGCAGACGTGCACGCGCTTATTACGGCATTCTTCCTTCTGCGTTCACACAGCGCAGCATTCCGGCAAATTGCCGGTAATGTTACAACTTTTCTTTCCGGAAAATAGCCAGAACGAATTTGCCGGTATTTTCAAAAAGGACCTGTTCACACATACAACCTTTCTGTATGTGTGAAAGGGTCTATAATCACCACCAATGGGAGCATGCTCCTGATTGGTTAATGCGGCACGAATGTCCGCTGAAGTTCAGATTTTCGAACTCGAGCGTTTCACGCAAAACATGCGATACGTACGTTAAGCACGTCGATCCCGAACTCGCGCTGATCATTCGCACTAATCACGCCGCAGGATGTCTATTCGCGCCTTTGCAATGACTTAACATGTAAATCACTCGCGCTTGATGCTTCTTCCACATCTGGTGTGAACACAGTATTAGACAATGGCAGCAGCAGACTGATGCAAAACAAATGAATGGCTCCTGGTAACACTTTGAGGACTTTTAAAGCAAAATGACTGGCCCTTTTAAGAGACTGCACTTTATAATACCTCGAAATATTGTCAGGAGCAGTTGTTATTAATTTTGATTTTTCTCTATGTTTTAGTACTCTCTAACTGCCAGTAACTGTAGACTTGCATTTTATGAAATACAGTATCCCCTTAAAAGTGTTTAAAGGTGAAACTCACTTGAGCTCTTGTGAAAGATGGAATAGGTACACCAGGGATTCTTGAATGCTCAATTCGACCATGATGGGGCCCCTCGGTTACAAGATAGAAGATTTGGAGGCCTTGAAAGTGTTGGTTGACGACTTTGATAATGTTCTGAGTGAGAGCTTTAGAGGAACCCTCTATGAGGGTCATATTGGACACCTCTAGTGGGATGTGCAGGGGGATAATGTCCACTACTACTATAAGACCATTTCAAGAGTTCACACTTAGCTGATGATTTACAAAGCTTATTTGGCATGCTGTCCCGGGAGAGAGCCCCGAGCTCAAGGGCTCCTCGAGCCCGGGGCTTCCTCCCGTTGGCAGAGCAAGAAGGGAGCCTGAGCTCGGTGGATCTCAGAACTCCCCTGCCGCTGTAGCTAAGGGAACGTAAGGAATTAGACCAGCTTGATTGTTAAGTATGTTGAATGTCTTTGGATGGTGGGAGGAAACCGGAGAGCCCGGGGAAAACCCACGCGGACACGGGAAGGACATACAAACTCCCCACAGAAACACTCACCGGTCCTATCGAACTAGAACCGGCAGTATTCTTGCTGTGTGGTTCACAGTGCTAACCACTGGACCGCCGTGCCGCCCAATTACAGGTAAAGGAGGAGAATAGGGGAGGAGGGGGGTTTCTTCCAAACGAAGATAAAGTGAACTGGAAACTTAGACTATTTATGGTGCCTTAGGGCTCATATGATTGGAAGATTAGTGATTAGCAAATGCGAGACTGGACGTGATAAATCATAAGCACGTGATCCTCTCGAAATTAGTTTATGAATAAACTTCACTTCAAGAGTTCACACTTAGCTGATGATTTACAAAGCTTATTTGGCATGCTGTCCCGGGAGAGAGCCCCGAGCTCAAGGGCTCCTCGAGCCCGGGGCTTCCTCCCGTTGGCAGAGCAAGAAGGGAGCCTGAGCTCGGTGGATCTCAGAACTCCCCAAAATGCAGAATTAATCGCTCGGGACAGCAGCCGCGTATTCGAAGAAAAAACCCCCCAAAAGGCAGGAAATTTAGAGCTATATCCGGCTGCTGGATATAATAGAAGAAAAGAGGTTAAATGCATGGGCATTAATTAGATAGGATTAATAAGGGTGAAAAGAGGATTCTAATAACTCTTGCTGGAGTTAGAGTTTGAAGGAACCCCTGCGGGGGTCATGGTTTTCGGGGTTAAGAAGAAGGGGAGAATAGGTGGTTTGAAGCAGTGAAAGAGAACTTTGAGTGAATCTTGTGGGAGTTGGAGCTCTAAGTGACCCCTGCGGGGGCCAGAGTAGAGTGAAGGTATGGAGCAGAGAGTGGAGGAGAGTAGCTCTTACGAAAGATGGAGCTTTGTGAGAGTTTGAGTTTAGAGCAGCCTCTGCGGAGGTTAGAGCTTGAGGGTAGGGTGTAGATAGGAGTGACCTCTGCGGAGGTTAGAGCTTGAGGGTAGGGAGTAGATAGGAGCGACCTCTGCGGAGGTTTGAGCTTGAAGGTAGGGTGTAGATAGGAGCGACCTCTGCGGAGGTTTGAGCTTGAAGGTAGGGTGTAGATAGGAGCGACCTCTGCGGAGGTTTGAGCTTGAAGGTAGGGTGTAGATAGGAGTGACCTCTGCGGAGGTTTGAGCTTGAGGATAGGGTGTAGATAGGAGTGACCTCTGCGGAGGTTAGAGCTTGAGGGTAGGGAGTAGATAGGAGCGACCTCTGCGGAGGTTTGAGCTTGAAAGTAGGGTGTAGATAGGAGTGACCTCTGCGGAGGTTTGAGCTTGAGGATAGGGTGTAGATAGGAGTGACCTCTGCGGAGGTTAGAGCTTGAGGGTAGAGAGTAGATAGGAGCGACCTCTGCGGAGGTTTGAGCTTGAAGGTAGGGTGTAGATAGGAGTGACCTCTGCGGAGGTTTGAGCTTGAGGGTAGGGTGTAGATAGGAGCGACCTCTGCGGAGGTTTGAGCTTGAAGGTAGGGTGTAGATAGGAGTGACCTCTGCGGAGGTTTGAGCTTGAGGGTAGAGTGTAGATAGGAGTGACCTCTGCGGAGGTTTGAGCTTGAGGGTAGAGTGTAGCTAGGAGCGACCTCTGCGGAGGTTTGAGCTTGAAGGTAGGGTGTAGATAGGAGTGACCTCTGCGGAGGTTTGAGCTTGAGGGTAGGGTGTAGATAGGAGTGACCTCTGCGGAGGTTTGAGCTTGAGGGTAGAGTGTAGCTGGGAGGAGCAATGAGTGGAAGAGAGTAACTCTTGTGAGAGTTGGAGCTTGAAGCGACCTCTGTGGAGGTCAGAGCTTGGGGGTAGAGTGTAGATAGGGGGAGATAGGTAGCAGTGAGTGGAAGAGAGTAACTCTTGTGAGAGTTGGAGCTCTGAGCGACCTTTGTGGAGGTCAGAGCTTGAGGGTAGATTGCGGATAGGAGGAGATAGATATCAGTGAGTGGGAAAGAGGATTTGGATAACTCTTGCGAGAGATTGGGGCTCGGAGCGACCCCTGTGGGGGTCAGAGCTAGAGGGTGAGTCATAAGGAGAAGAGAGGTAGTTGAAGTAGAGTGAAGAAGTTTTAGCTTGAGCGGACCCCTGCGGGGTTTGGAGCTTGGAGAAAGAGTCTAGGCGGAAAAAGAATAGGTAACATCGTGAAGAAGAAAGGACTGTGGCCGCTATGGCCGAATCCTGCGAGAGTTGGAGCTCAAGGGGGCCCCTTCGGGTGTCTGAAGAGTCTAGACAGTAGAAACAAGATCATTAGAGGTAGAGTGTAAAATAGATTAGTTGGGAGTGGAGTGTAGAGAAGAAAGGAACGAGAGGCTGAAAAGTAGGGTTATAAGGATAAAAGATTTGGAAAAGTTGGAAGAAGGGAACAAGCACAAATATAATACATATGTACAAACGCAGTAAATGCGCAAAGAACATGTGGATACAAACGTCTGCATCTGTAAATAGCTATTGGTGATTGCAGAAGATGCTGACTGCAATGGCCCTTGAGGGAGTCCTTGGCAAACATGTAAGGGTGCCATGGGTGGACAATTGGGCTTCTGCGGGGTTTGGTTTGGATGACTCTTGCGAGAGTCGAGGCTCTGTTAGACACCTTTTTTTTTTTTTTTTTTTTTTTTTTTTTTTTTTTTTTTGAGTTGGAGCCGTGTGAGGAGGTGCTTGGGGATTGGTTAAAGCCTGTTGGGCTTTCTTGAGGTGGTATTTACTGAGACGTATATAAGATTTGAAAACTTCAGAAGACCAGCGACCAAGGGTCTGGATCTGATGGTGTGAGAGCCCGTTGTAGTGGCTGCGCCAATCCTGAATGAGTGGCTGGAAAAGGGCTCTGGGAAAAAACCTGATAGGCGAAAGATTTCTTTAAGGTGTTTTTGAAACCAGAATCGAGATACTGGACGGTTAGCGTCATCAGTAAAAAGCGGGGCCAGTGGGTTAGCCTCTTGAGATTTTCTAGGCTAAGAGGGTTTGGAATGGGCGTGTAGGTGAAGGAATATTGAAAATGAGGATAGAGTGTCCTCTCTGGAATTAATCTGTTTTGCTTGTTTGATAAGGAAAGAGATAGTTTCCCTGTCTTGCAAAGCTAGATCTGAGATGGTGGGGTGGAGTAGAGGGTTAAATTTGGATGTAACTGTTAATTCAGAACATTTAAGAAACCCCCCAAAAAATGCTAGATTGAACATAGCATCTAAGGTGCGGGCTGTATGGGAGGAAATGTAACCTTTACAGAGGGTGTAGATGCATGAGGTAAGGATTTTGAGTGTAATGGGTTGTCTAGCATGGTATGGAATTGTTTGAACGAATTCCATGCTGTGAGGTAGGCATTGAGGGTTCTGGGAGCTATTGCTTGTAGGATAAGAGATAGAGAAGTTTGATGAAGATTATGAAGTGGGTGGTTTATGGAAATATCGTTACTGAATAAGGAGGGACCGGCGTTGGGTGAGGGTCTGCTTCCGGGGCTAGTTGCCAGAATATCTGCAAAGAGAAATGAGAGAGAGAGAGTCAGCGATTTGGTTTTTGCAACCAGGTACATGTTCAGCAATCATGATAAATTGTTTTTTTTTTTAGCAGATATCCAGATAAGGTGTCTTAAAAATGGCATAAGCGATTGGGAGTGGGAGCGTCCTTTGTTAATGCAATGCACTGTAGCTTCGTTATCGCAGTGAAAGAGAATGCTAGATGTAGACCATTCGTCCCCCCACAGGATGGCTGCTGCGATGATAGGGTAGAATTTGAAGAGGGCTGAAAAACATTGGTCTTTGGAATGGAATTACAATTGGGTTGGCCATGTTGAGACAAACCAGTGTCCTTTATATTAGCCACTGTAACCTATTGGAGGGGCAGCGTCTGTGTATGTGTTGATGTCAATAGGGGATGCAATCAAGTCGCTGTAGAAAAAGGAACAGCCGTTCCATTGCTTAAGGAAAGAGATCCATAAGCAAAGTTCATCGCGACTGGGTTTGGAGAGAAAAATTGTTTCTTCTAAACCATGAACTGTGGTGGATAATTGATGGAGGTGGGAAATGAAAGGAATAATGCGCATAGCGAAATTTAGATGGCCGAGAATTGGTAGGAGTTCTCGTTGTGTGCACATCTGTTTTTCAAGGAAAATTTGGGATAGAGAAATTATTCGATTGATTTTCTCTTTAGGAAGGGATGCTTGGAATTTATGCGAGTCTAGATTAATACCCAGAAATTCGATTGAAGTACTGGGTCCTTCCGAGATCAGCGAAAACCTGCTGGGTGATCGCTAGGTGTTTGGCTGGAGGAGATGACGGGGGGGAAATAAGAAAATCGTCTAGAAGGTGAATGAGGTATGGTATTTCGTAAAAATTAGACAGAATCCAGCATAAGCTTCTGACATTATGTCAAATATTTTTTGGGCTGCTTTTGCATCCGAAAAATAGAATTGATTTCGCCAATAAATGCCAAAAGGTGCCAGAAGTCTGGGTGGATTGGCATGATTTTAAAGGTAGGGGAAATGTCTTCTTTGGCTAGCCAGGTGTTACGACTGGCTATCTTTATGAGAGAGATCTCTTGATCAATGTCGTAGTAGTTAAGTAAATATTCGTCCAATGGAATAGTGCTGTTAATGCTAGGAAAGGAGCAATTGTGTTGGGACGAAAGGTCGACTACAAGGCGTTTTTGCCAGAACATTTTTGAGTAGCGACACCAATGGGGCTAATGCGCGAGATATTAAAAGGAGGAGCCTTGGAGTTCCAATCATGAAGTTGTTGTCGATTTCTTTTTAAAAAGATAATCGACGGTTTCAGGTTCGGAGGTTGCAGACTGCAGGTTAGGACAGATTGGATAAAGTGAAAAATGGAATGTATCCTTTGTGAAGAGGATGTGGAGTGTAATAGGTTGGATGAGGGTCAGCTTCTGGAGCCAGCAGTCATGATCTCTAAAATAGAAAAAAAACAAAGAGAATCAGAAATTAAATCTTTGCAAAATAATACAAGTATGGCAGACATGAAAATTGTTTTAGTTTATATCCATGCGAGGCATCTTAATAAGGGCATGGGCGGCTGTAAATGGAAGCGCTTTTGATAATGCATGGTCCGATGACTTCATTGATACGATGTGCAAGGATGGTAGGGGTGGGTGTTCGTCTCCTAACGGGATGACAGATGAATGGAGAGCTGAGGACATGGGATATGGCTAGTCTGGTGGTCCTGGAAACTGGTACCCCTTGAAGACTGAGCATGTGAAGTGATAGTGAAGTTTAAATTTGTATTTATAACAGTCAAGTGGGAAGTTTGTTTCTTTGCCGTTTTCACATCCGACTGACTTGCTATATAATCTTATATGACGCTTGTAAATCAACACATGAGTCGCTGGCGTATTACAATTGGACTTCTGTGCTTGATGGCATAATGTTTTCAATAGCTTGTTAATATTTACTGGTTGGGTAATAATCTTTTCAGAAGTTAAATGTCAAATGGAATATTTTTTTTTTTTTTTTTTTTTTTTTTTTTTTTTTTTTTTTTTAAACTAAAATTACAAGCGTGTCTGGCCTATTCATTCATAAGGTCTTTGCAACAGAGTCAAGAGAGAGGGCGGGACCATCTCCAGTCTTTTAGCTCATTGGATGGAGACGCTTATCTTTACAGCTATTGGCTTAAGGAGTTTCAGTCAGGCCATGCAAAAGGTGCAAAAAGCCTGGCGGCCATTTTGTTGATCAAATTCAACATTGTTTGTGGCTGGAGCTGCTGCTCTGCTGAACACATTCCAGCAAACAATCTGTTAAACGATGGATAGCATGTGTACTGCTAGGAGAAGGTGAGGGTTCCGTTTTATTGCAATAGCTTTGGAGTTTGGCTTATATCTTGCTGGGAAATAAGGTTGAAGACACAGCAGATGCGTTGTGGAGGCTCTTTGAAGTGGAAGGTTTTGGTGTTGTTGTTTAAGCTGTTGATGAAAATGTTGGAGTTGTAGTTGTTTGAAATGGTAGCAATAGTAGTTGTTGTTGTTGTTGCTGTAGCTTGTATATTGTAGCTTGTAGATTGAAGCTTTTAGATTGTATATTGTAGATTGTAGCTTGAAGCTTTTGTAGCTTGTAGCACTTGTAGCTTTTGTAGTTGATGAGCAGAGCAGAGCGTTCTTCCAAATGAAGATCCTGAAGATTGTAGCTTGTTGCTGCTTTAGTTGTCCATGCTGGTTTAGAGTTGGTTCTTCAACGGAGCTAGCTACGGTGAAGCTGCTTCTTCCAAACGAAGATAAAGTGAACTGGAAACTTAGACTATTTATGGTGCCTTAGGGCTCATATGATTGGAAGATTAGTGATTAGCAAATGCGAGACTGGACGTGATAAATCATAAGCACGTGATCCTCTCGAAATTAGTTTATGAATAAACTTCACGTAATGTTAGAATGCCATTGGTTACATCAAGTGCGAAGGAGTCATTGACATACCCTTTCTCGTTCTGAACATACTGAACATGCCCTTCATTAATATCACCCTGTGAAAAGCTCTCTATGGGACTCTCCTGGCTGCCACGGTAGTGACTTTCTTTCACCATAGATATCCTCAGAAAACCATGAGCGGGTGCCACCTTCACAGTATACAAAAATTCATAAGGTTTGTTATCCTCATGAATAACCTGAAACAAACCACATCAGTTACACAATAGTCGACATTTCACAGCCAAATTATTTGAATATGTTTAAAAGCAAAACTAACCTGGAGAACTTCCTTGGTGATTTTAACAGGCTTTCCTTCATCCACCAAGATTGGGTTATTGTGAATGACTGTTGGGGGCTGCTGATGACTCTCAAGATACACTTTAATGTTCACACTTACATCCAGATGCAAACCTTTCACTTTGCTAGTGATGTTAAAAAAGTCCTCCAGGATTTCGTTGTCATCATGATGATATATTACATGATCCATCTTTACGTCATGTTGTGTGAAAGTATTTGTTTTGATTCCATTGCAGTAAAGAGTCCCATGGCTTGGTGGTAGAAAGACCTCAAAGACCACTTCTTCATCATGCCTGACATCCATATTAGTGGAAATACTGAAATTAGCAACTCCTAAAATGGCTGCCTGCCCTTTCTGTACCAAAAGACCCGTGTTGTTGCCCACTTCAACAAATGGATCCTGGGCTGACACTTCAAGTACTGTTGATGTGTAGTGTTTGCTGTCTGATATGAAGAGGATGAAGCGACCATAACTTGCTCCTTTGTGAATGAACAGCACTCTCTTCTCTTCTAAGTCCCTCTGATGGAATTGATAAAGCTTGTGTGTGGTGTCATTTACCAGGACTAGCTCACCCGTGGGGATCTTTCGTCTAGTATAAAGCAGATCTTTGTCATCAAAGTCTGTGTCCGGATCATGGTAGCACAAGTCTTCCAGTGTAAGTAACCGCTGACTGTTATGCACCACATGGAAGACTTTATCCACAACACGAACTGGTTTCTCATCATTAACTAGCTGAATGGAAATATTAAATACACCCTCCGTACCGAGAGTCTTATTTTTCAGAGAGCCAAAAGAAGCCACGAACCTGAATGCATCCTGTGTGGTTTCACTATCGTCATGGACATACATTATGCGTTCATCCAAAATGTCCTGATTAGTAAACTCTGTTATGGTGTCATTTCTTGAAGAGGAATTGGAGAGATTTATTTTCTGCAGTATCCCATGTTTAGGGATGTTAGTAACAGTGTAGTGTACCATTCGGGAGCTGGCTGTCTCTGAGAAAAGCATCGTGTTAGTAATGACCTTGCTCTCCCCTTCCAAGACAGAAAGTCCATGATTACTTAAAATTATATCATGAATATCTGCTTTAATACTGATTTTGAACTCATGGATCCCCGACATGGCATATTTTGAGAAAACCTGAAAATGAAACATGTCCCTTGCATCATCATGTGCCTTTTCTAAGAGCTCATATTGTAACTTTTGTTTAGCAATGCAATCTTGGCTAAAAGTAGAGTTCCTTTTTAAAATCTTATTATCAAGAAGAAGATGTCCTTTCCTTGGTAATGTCAACAAACGAATGTGAAGGTCATTTTCCGTAAGTCTTGCACCCTTGGTGACAACATGAAATTCTTGAGGTGACAATGTGACTTTTTGTTTACCCTCTATCTCAACCTTATTTTTGGTGATTCTGTATCGTATCCAGCGAACTCTAATCAGAAATAAAAACTCGTCAGTAATGACTGAGCCAAGTGTGGCTTTGTATTTGAAACTGTCTGTGATATTACTTTGCTGTGTCCCATGGAAGGTGCTGAGGTATCGGAGACGCTCCTTTTCCAAAAGTTTCTGTGTAAATGTGCTTGTTTGCTTCCACTGCCCACTTGAATGTAGCCTTTGCAGCTCACCATAAACTGGTGGCACTGTGATATCATAGCGAATATCCACTGCTTGTTTAGGGACGTTCACTTGAATAGCAAGATTTTTGTTACTAATAAAGGTTGCATCACCTTGGATTACCTCTACTCCAGTATTGTTGGTGAGCTTGTATTCTAGGGGAACAGCGATGATCCTAAATACCACAGTGTTGCTTACCTTGTCCCCATCACTTACTCTAAGTGCCATTCTGGAGTTCTTGACACCTTTGTGCACATAATTCACTTTACCCTCCTCTAGATCACTTAGGGAAAAGGATGTCACTGCTTTGCCTGGGTGTTCGTCAATTTCTATAAACCCTGAGTTAACAATCAGGTTTCCAAGCACTGTAAACTTAAGATCTGTTGAGTTCGTGTCAGGGTCGATGACTCTGAGGACATCTGTGCTCAAATGACGTCTTGAGTGCTCCACCATAATGAAGAGACTGCCTTCAGGGAGACTAAGTTCAGGAGCATCATTGACAGGTGTTATACTGATGTTGAATCTGTGCAGGCGGTTCCCTTTGAGACAGCTAGGCACTTCCTTTTTGCTGCTGGTCAAGATAGAAAACATGAAAAAATCAAATAGGTCCTCAGATCCTCCATGGACATACATGACCCTTTTGTGCCAGAGGTCCAGCATACTAAAGGTGTTCTCGCCCAAATCAGAGTCAACATCCAGTCGGAGTTGCCCATGGACTGGCTGCTCCTCAATACGAAACATAATCTGTGACTGACGGATCCCAAGCTTACGGAAGTCTAGATTAATCTTTATGTGTTTAGACTCAAGTGGTGCTCGACTACCTTCAAGAACCTCTAAATCTTTGAGTAAAAGAAAATTCCTTTTGTCCAGCTCAGCTGGAACATCTGTATAATTTTCAGAATATAAGGCGTTAGTTGATGGACTTGCAGTAGTAGGACCAAATAGCTTTTCTGGTTCACAACCAACAGATATGTCCTTGGTAACCAATGCTTTTGGAAGGCCCATCCTTTGGTAATTAACTCTGATATTTCGAAGACAGCCTTTAAATGACCCTCCTGCTATACGCTTGCCTAACATAGACAGCAGTCCATTCTTGCGGACGTCTGTGTAAGTGTTGGCATCCACCCCTCCTAGAAAAAGAGGCCCGATAAACTGTAATGCACTGGCATTAATCCCAAAGCTAGAATTGTGCATCTCCAAACCAAGAGTAAACTGAAGATTTAAAGGAGACAGATAAAGCCGCAAAATGTGCCATGCCCCATCATTGACGACCATCAATGAACGCAATACTGTTTTGGTTGCACCTATTTTTAGGATGGCAACAAGGTGACCCTTTTGGATCTCCAGGGCAATGTAGTCTCCTTGGCCTGCAGAGCTGTATAAAAATATCCCCTCTGAATATACTGTTCGAAGTTCACATTCAAATACACCTTCTTGAGGCACGTCCCACATTGGCAATGACATGTACGCTTTGGAACTGAAGAAACTTATTGAATTGTTGACAGTTGCTGAGAATTCTGGACTGCAACCAAGTGACACTTCATGAATCATTTTGTATCCAGAGTATGGCCTAAGGGACGACAGAAGGTTATGCTCATTGAAAAGAACCTCATCCACACACCCTCGAAAGCCAAAAGAAGAATCATCTGCTGAGAGGTAGGATTTTTCCAGATCTCCAACGCCTCCGACAAAAAGACCATCCTGCACGTCCAGCTCAAGGTCAGGCCCTGGCATCCTTACAGTTGTTACAGAGTTTTTGTCCACAGTCAGTGTAATGTTTTCATGGTCATGCTGGAGTTCTACTGCATGCCAGGTCAGATCATTCAAAGGGATACCCTTCTCAGAGCGAACAGTCTGTTCCCCAGATCCAAACTCAATCCGCACCTGACAGAGATGGACAGGAGATCTTAACATTAATATATAGGAAATTTTTATCCTGTGTTGCTAAGAAACCCATACTACTTTAAATGCAGGTAACAGAGACACCATGTCAGTAGTGCTCAGCATGAAAAGACTTGTCTGCAGAGTGATGCGAGTGGAGGATTATACTGTGAACAGGCTTTTTCTGTCTAGAAGCAACAAGAAATCACTTGCCTTTTGTTTTTGCCAAAGGGCAAAAATATCTGTGCTGAGCAGTACAATTTTTTATCTGTTTTTGATATATCAATGAAATCATTATGTTTATAAAAGATTTCAGACTATTTATTTTGCCAAATGCATGAGTAATGTCAAACATATTAATAAGCAGTTAAATATCGCAAAACATAAAATAACATTAAATGAAGTAAAAAGTATATGAAGACCTCTATTCTGCCAGAATGCAGCCCAACCCAGAGGAAGTCCTTCTCTCCGGCTGCCAAAAACAGCAGTCCACTGGATCCAGAGGTTCGAAACCGTACATGGATAGATGTCTGACTTGACAACTCAACTGTTTTCAAATGCACAAAACCATCTCCATAGAAAGAAGCTGTCAAAACAATCAAGGGTATAAAACATGAGTCTTCTGTTTTTTATTATCACATTACATATTTTTCCAATTTTGCATTGTCCAAGGACAAGTTCATATAAACAAAGTGCCAGAGGATGAGATGTTCAGAAAATATGAAAGTATAGTTTGTCAAAATGACTGACACAAAAACAACATCATTCTTTTAAAACATGGATTAGTCAGGTAACATGCCTGCTAATGTCCCTGAAAAGTTAGTTTGAAAGAATGTTGTGCCAGCTAAATGCCTAAAGCAGTTTATACTAAGTGCTGTTGTGACCGCGGCCCTCTAAATCTTTATCAGAGTTCAACTAATGCATTTGAATGCACTGAATGCCTTTTAAGAGCACAATGGCACAAGTTAATTTATAGAGCACTGTGCCAGAGTCAATATGAATTAGCACAGTGACTGGATATGAACTTCAAAAATGCTAACCTACTGAGTTAGTAGCAGTGGGTAATTTGCATAAATTATTTGATTATTCAGATTATGAAAGCATGTCCAAACTACTGAATAAACTATTAATGCAACTGACAATAAGTGATAAACGACATAAAGCATCTTTGAGAAGGAACATGACATAACATTTGTTGTTTATTAATTAAATACTTTTTACCTATTTAAATAAATTAAATATCTCAACTTCTTTCAACTTGCAAAATCAAAGATCATATTTTTTGCAATGCTTTAAAAAATATGTATTGCTATTCATCTTGCTGTCTCTATTTAGCTTACATGGGGGAGGTCGCTATCATTCATGCAGCAGGTAAACAAAATTAACTTGGACTGATCGGATTATATCTAATCCCATATCAGACATGTGCAGAAGTGACTTTGTACAGTGAGGTATTAATTACTCCTAACACCTCACTTTATCTACAAACCCATATTACTATTAATATTTTTTTTTAAGTTGGTATAAATAATTGTGCCATATGAACGAACTAATTAGCTGATAAAATTATATTTGAATAATACAGATGCATAAACTACTGAAGCTACAACAAAAACCATATTCGACGAGTTATTCATATTAGTATTATTGTTAGTCTTAAATCAACACTTATGTTAGGTTACATTACGTTACATTTGATAAAAGGTTATCAAATTGTGGTGTACTGACACTCACCTCCGAAAGTCTGTACAGCAGTCCAAGTGAGCAGCAAAAACACGCGCCACAGAAACTTCTTCTCAAGGGGAATGTAAATCCACATGTTTTATAGCATTTCGGGTCGATTTATATGTCTTATTGGTCTAATATTCACCGGAAAACCTCCATTGTGCGACCTTAAATTATTGTTAACTTTAAATCACTACCTGCAAATCTGTCCACACAAGAACGTCATGGGAGTGTGACAGGTTACTCCGCCCCGTTCATGCATATTCACAAAGCTCACACAACCGTTACAAGTAAAAACTGTCTTTTGTATTTTACAGTCTATGGTAAAAACACTATAGTCTGAAATATTGCTGCCTCCTTATCCATTATTCAGTATGCTTGCATCTTTCAATCTTTCAAAAGCTGAATCTGCTGTCAGGATTTGTAACTTTTTGATCTTCACCACTTCATTCATATATTAGTAAACGCATATTACAAAATAGGCATCGATTTAACATCTACATTTACTGATGTGTTTGACTAGCTTTATTAACAGAACTACCTTCTGCTAGTCAAAATAATCTAATTATTTTTATAATGACCACAAGAGGGCGCAATAACACTACAGACTGGCAAAAAAAAAACATTAAGACATCATTAGAAGATTTAGGACTGATAATATAATCGCTTCATTGTAGCATGAAAATAATCATATGGGCAAGTGTGTGTGTGTGTGTTTTTGTTGTTTTTTTCAGTAACTTCAAGTACGCCAAAAGACATGTTGTAGCCTATACACTTTCACAAGTTCTCTGTTGCTAAAATACCCACATAGCAAAATATCTCTGGCCCACAGAATCAGCTTTTGCTTGGCTCTCATGGTGCAGTGATTTACGGTACATGACTGGACCAAGTCTGGCTTTAAGACAAGGGCCAAAAATGGACCATATCTGGGCCAAGTCTCAGCCAAGTTAATAACCCATAACTGAGCCTGAACTGGGACAGATATGTTGGTGTGTAACAACTGCATTGAAATTGATAAAACCAATAAATCTTTAGGCGTGCCATGGGCGTGCTTTTTCTTGAAGCGACCTGATTGGTAGAAGTTTTATTCTTTATTCAAAAATAATAAAATTGTATTTTAAATGTGGGTCAAGATAGGCCAAACAATCATCACCATCTGAGCTAAATACTACATTTTACATCTGGCCCAAGTATTGTGAGCTGCCTTAAATACCACCTCTACCGAACCTGGGCCATGTTTGGCCCACATGCTGTATGACAGTGCGGGATGAATGCCTGCTGTGCCAGATTTCTTTTTACATGGGTAGGCCTACTAAAAAAGTTGTTTTAACTATGAGTAATTTACAGTAATTTCACAATTGTATCAATCTTTTACCAGTAAATCACAGCACCAAGACATAGGCCTATCGCAGTGTCATTTTAGTGAGAAAACACATAGAGGGAAAGATTATACGGCAACACAGTCATATGTAGATAAAAGCCAATAAAAGCAATGATAAGATGTAAGAAGAATTTATTATATGAACATTTTAGGCCCAGTGAGCTACAGTTTTGGTGTCTGTATTTAAATGCTCGAGCTCTTTGAAACAGGATGATTTCTGAATGGTTGTTAGATGTACTTGTTTATAAAGTATGTATTTTTATCTTATTATTTATTTTGTTAATATTATTAAGTGATGCGGTGGTGCAGTAGGTAGTGCTGTCGCCTCACAGCAAGAAGGTTGCTTGTTAGAACCAGGGCTGGGTCAGTTGGCATTTCTGTGGAGTTTGCATGCCCCATCCCCCCCCCCCCCCCTCCTTCTACAAATTATGATCATTTTCAATTAAAGTTTGACCATTTGCTTTTTCTTTTGCTTTTTTTTTTTAAATTGACTTCGATAACAAACATAAGAAATCTGGTCTTACACACAAAATACTGTAATAGTAAGTAACAATGATAAAAACCCAAAAGATCATGTTAAATAATATAATAAGTATCAAACCGGGCAAAGCGGTGGCGCACAATCACCTCACAGCAAGAAGGTCACTAATTCAAGCCTCGGCCGAGTCAGTTGGCATTTCTGTGTGGACTTTGCATGTTCTCCCCGTGTTAGCGTGGGTTTCTTCCGGGTGCTTCGGTTTCCCCTGCAAGTCCAAAGACATGCGGTATTGGGTATGCTAAAATTGACCGAAGTGTATGTGTGTAAATGAGTGTGTATGGGTGTTTCCAGGTGATGTGTTGCAGCTGGAAGGGCATCCGCTGTGTAAACCATAGACTGGATAAGTTGGCAGTTCATTCCGCTGTGGCGACCCCAGATTAATAAAGCGACTAAGCCGAAAAGAAAATGAATGAATGAATGAATGAATGAACAAATAAAGCAATAAAAAAGAAACAAAATAGAAAAAAAAGAAAAAAGTTAAACAGAGATAAATAAAAAACACAAATGCAGCAAGTGGAAAGAAGGACTCGTGTATCCCTGAGATTTCCAAAGTAACTATAAAAATCCAAGAATCTATCACTTTTCTTGTTTTTAACCTTTCTAAGAGATTAAATAAAAACATCAGTTTAAAAAATGTGAAAACGAAGCCTGCAAATTCAAAAATCTATGTTTGTGAATAAAATATTTTCCATCAAAATAAAAAAGTGTATAATGTAATTCTCTGCTATGTCGGTTTTACCTTTATAGTATCAAATAATATCTTTTAGTTGAAATGGGCTGGAAGAAGCAGTGTAATTACCTCTGAAGACATAAACTATTCCAAAAGCTTTTTGTGGTTGTATATTGAAATAATATGCGAATCATGGTTTCATCTTTAATTTTACAAAATGAGCATGAACTATCAACCTCTATACTTTGCCAAAGTATTATTTACTGGATATATTTTATGAAGCTTTTTAAAATGAACCTCTTTTGCTTCATTGGGAATGCAGTACTTATGAGGTAATAGCCAGGCTTTTTTCCAGTCTATTAGGCCAATGACCATTTGCTTCCCAGTGCCGGCCCTTCTCTGTTGGCGTCAGTTTGACGTCTTCAGTCACAATATTCATAACCACGCCTCTTTAATGTTTGTTTATCGCTCACCAGAGGTTTTTGGAAAAATGGCTTTCATAGTGACTCCACTGATATTGTTTCTCTGCGTCATTAATTAGCCAAGTTTTGGAGTGGCTGTTCTGATACATGTAACATGAGTCAAATTCATAAAATAACATTATTTTTATTTGTTTGTTGGTTTCATTTTTAGTTTCTATCTAAAAAAAAAAGTTTTAAAATTTAATTTTTTTTATTTTTTTTATTTTTTTTTTAAAAGTATTGTTTAATATTTTGCTGTGTATTGTCATGATGTTATTTTTTCAGCTCAATTTATTCCTCATCAACCAGCAGCCATTTAAGTCACTGACTGAATCTGTTGAGTAAATACAACATTCATTTCTTCATTTTCCTTCGGCTTAGTCCCTTATTTATCAGGGGTCGCCACAGTGGAATGAACTGCCAATTATTCCAACATATGTTTTGTTCAGTGGATGCCCTTCCAGCTGCAATGCAGTACTGGAAAACACCCATACACTCTTACATTTACACCAATCTAGTTTCTCCAATTCACCTATACCACATGTCTTTGGACTTGTGGGGGAAACCAGAGCACCCGGAGGAAACCCACACGAACACGGGGAAAACATGCAAACTCGAACCAGTGACCTTCTTGCTTTGAATCGACAGTGCTAACCACTGAGCCACCGTGTCACCATATAACATGCCAGCATAATACAAATTTTAAGAGACAAATTGTGAGACCACTTTAAAGAGTGGGTGTTAAAAGTAGATGAGAGGAAACCTAAAGATATCATTTGTAAAACTAATATCGGGGTGCCTTGGTGACACAGTGGGTAGCACGATTGCCTCACAGCAAGAAGCTCACTGGTTCGAGCCCCGGCTGGGTCAGATGGCATTTCTGTGTGAAGTTCTTCCAGTTTTCCCCACTGTCCAAAGGCATGTGCTATAGGTGAACTGAATGAACTAAATTGGCCGTAGTGTATGTGTGTGAATGTGAGAGTGTTTCCCAGTGATGGGTTGTGGCTGGAAGGGCATTCGCTGCATAAAATATATGCTGGATAAGTTGGCGGTTCATGACGCAGTGGCAACCCCTGATCAATAAAGGGAGCAAGCTGAAAGCTGAAAAAAAATGAATGAATGAATGAATGAATGAAAACTAATATCAAGCCATCCAATTTGGCAGATGGAGCACTTGGCAGCCATTCCAACAGTAGGTAGGCTACCTCAGATTTTATTTTATTATTTTCAAAATCTGATATACATGCCAGAGCCATATCACCCTGCAGCCCAAGACCGGTTACTCACTGAAGCTAAGCAGGGCTGAGCCTGGTTAGTACCTGGATGGGAGACCACTAGGGAACACTAGGTTGCTGTTGGAAGTGGTGTTAGTGAGGCCAGCAGGGGGCGCTCAACCTGTGGTCCTAATGTCCCAGTAAAAGTGAAGGGGACACTACACTGTCAGTGGATGCCGTCTTTCGAATGAGACGTTAAACCGAGGTCCTGACTCTCTGTGGTTATTAAAAATCCCATGGCACTTCTCGTGAAAGAGCAGGGGTGTAACCCCGGTGTCCTGGCCAAAGTCCCTCTATCAACCCATACGATCATGGCCTCCCAATCATCCCCTTCCACCGAATTGGCTCTATCACTGTCTCTCCACTCCACCAATAGCTGGTGTGTGGTGAGCGCACTGCCGCCGTTGTCCTGTGGCTGCCGTCGCATTATCAAAGTGGATGCTGCACACTGGTGGTGGTATGGAGAGACCCCCCTCGTGAAGCGCTTTGGGTGTATGGCCATACACAATAAATGCGCTATATAAATACACATTACATTACATTATCCATCGTTGTCGTTCTCATAGTGGATATTAAAGTCATGCAAATCTAGTATTTAAAGTGACAGCATAGCTTTGTTTTTAAATTATGGACATCTGGCTTTGATGGTCTGAACACACTAAATGGCTATGGCTGCCGGTTTGCAACATTCTCCACAATATCTTCTTTTGTATTAAACAAGAGAAAGAAACTCAATCAAGTGGAGATTTTTTTTTTTGAATGTTCACGATGCAAACTATCTGGAATTCATTCATTCATTTTCTTTTCGTCATAGTCTACTTATTCATCAGGAGTCGCCACAGCGGAATGAACCGCCAACTTATCCTGCATATGTTTTACGCAGCAGATGCCCTTC